GTGTATTTTTGGTAATAAATGCTTTCTGTGTTTGGTGGCTGGAACTTCAAGCATTTCTTGTCCAACCTATAAGACAACAGAGCTTTTGGTTTTGGATCTGTGAATGTGGATTGGTCAGGCTGGGGATCTTTGACTTTACGTTCTTCTCATTCTGAATGGCATCTTTATCCCTAACAATGTTCCAGTTTCCTTTCATAAAGGACCTGATCCAAAAAGCCCATTGAAGTCACTGACAGTCTTTCCATTGGCATAAGCGAGCTTTAGATCAGCCCCATAAAGCATTAGAGAGACAAGGTGGGTGAGGTAATATCTTTTATTGGAACAACTTCTGTTGGTGAGAAACAAGCTTTCAGTCTTACACAGAGCGCTTCTTCAGGCCTCAAAAGCATTTACATCCTTCAGCCATAGGCAGCAGGAGTCAAAAGCTACATGTGGACATGTAACTAGGGATGTAACTTGTATCCTCTTCACTTCCCTGGACCTTCAAGGACTAAGAAACCACTTCTGTAATCAATTCATGCACCTTCCTGTACATTCTGCTTGTCTGAGAAGTTGTTCCTTCATGGAGGTTGTCCTCATGTTAATGTGTGTTACTAACTGATCAATCCAGCTGGCTCCAAACCTTGTTGTGTTATTTTGAAAATAGATTTGATATTTGTCAGTGCTGCTGGAGTGAAAAAAAGGGCTATGATAAAAATGGTAGTAATAGTGAGCATTTATATAACACTTTTCATCTTCAAATCATTTGGTAAACATTAAGCAATATATTTAAGTGCTTTCCCTCTCTTATTTATTTGTTTGTTTATTTGTTATTAGGATATTCACAATCATTTGAAACTACCCAGTAAAGTAGAGGTAGATTCTGCTAGAAATGTGGGGCCTGATTCTCTTGTCATTTACACCAGTTTTATATTGATCTAACTTCAATGACTTTAATGGAGTTTCTCCTGAATTGCAGAGGTATGTCTGATTGAGGATTTATCTACACTAGGCTGCAGTGCAGACTACAGGAGTGTGAACTGCAGAGCACACGAAAGTGTGGCAATCTAGCTGCCCCATGTGGATGCTGATAGTGAAAACTGAAAGGTATCTAGTTTGGTTAACATAGTTTTGTTTGCAAGAGGACTACATTAACATGAACTAGGTACCTGTTAGTTCACTCCAGCAGCATCCACCTGGGGCAGCTAGATTGCCACACTTTGGTGTGCTCTGCAATTCACACCCCTGTAGTCCACACTACAGTATAGATGTAGTTTGTGAGTGTAAATTATGTTGGTCATATGCTCTCCAAACTGTATGTAATTAAACTTGTGTGCTGTAGTTGCTGGTCTTCTCACTAAACCCTGGACTATATGTTAATTGTTTAGAACTTTTTTATCCCATTAATGCTTGTGTGACTCCTGTTTATATTAATGAGTATAATGAATGTGAATACATCAGAGGCCTTAATTATACTCAAAAATTGCACCAGTATTGTTTTACATCTATTAGTGGGAGCTGCCATGCCTCCTTCACACTTTCTCTCCCATCACTGGTTCTCTAGGCTGCAGTTGCTAGAAATCACTCCAATTTACAACCGACACAACTTCACTGATGTGAGTTAAATCAGGCTAGTGGCAGCATGGACACATCCCACTTCTGATTTAACTAGATGCAAACACTGGTGCAAGTGTAACAGAGGGTTTGTCTAGTATAGAATTTTTTTAATTTAAGTAAATTGTTTGCCAGTTAACTTAAATTATATAATCTGTTTGTAAATGCTAGCTTGGACACACCACAAACTTTTGTTTCAGGATACAAACAGGTAAACCACAAACAGACTAGCATTTACAAACATGTTAGCTAGCTCATGTTAAGTGGCAATCAAGTAATGGGTTAAAAACTCCATTCTGGATGGACCCAGATTGATCACGAGAGTTTAGATACATTGGTTTACAGACATAAACGTAACTTATACTAGTGGAACTTGTGTGTATAGACAAGCCTAAAAGAAAAGCAGATCTAGGCCTGATTCTCCTCTCACTGACACCAATGTACATATGGAATAACTCCAGTGAAGTCAATGAAGTTGCATTAGTGTAAACATGGCATAAGTGATAAGAGAATCAGAATCCTAGTATTTAATTTTCTCCATAAAATCATATAAAAAGAGTACAAATCCTGAAAGGCAAACATACTTTTAAAAGTAGATCTAATTAAAATAAAATGTTGTTTTATTTGAGGAATGGACAGAGATATAGCTTTCTATCATCATGCTGGAGTTATAAAGAAAAAATAATTCCCATCACATTACTAATAAAAATATTACACTGTATTTACAAAGAAATTAGTTTTGTGCTTTGTACAGTACCGCTGCATTTTTGAAGACTAAAGTTATGGCTGTGCTGCAATCAGGAACAGCAAAGCTAGCATTGCATGACATATAATTAACCTGAAACATGCTCTGTCATACTCTGTTACAGAAGCTAATATTTTAGTAAATTTCACAAAAAGGCTTAGGCATGTATGGGCCCGATACCCCTTTCCTTCTTTAGGTAAAATAGCCACTGATGACAACGTGAGTTTTGTCTGAGTAAGGCATATATGTAATTATACCATCTGCCCAATGCATAGAATAATAGCACCTTCATTTTATGCTAGCTATTATAGCACTAGAAGAGCTATCAATCCTCATGAGTCAGGAGGATGTAAATGAATAGATAGGTGGGATTAAGAACAAAATTACCTCTCAAGGTATGCATGCGATGAAGTGAGCTGTAGCTCACAAAAGCTTATGCTCAAATAAATTTGTTAGTCTCTAAGGTGCCACAAGTACCCCTTTTCTTTTCACCCAAGGTATAGAATTTCACAATAAAATATATTATGGGGTGTTTAAATCTTCTTCCGAGCATCAAGCATTGGAGGCGGGATTCAAGACTAAATGGATTATTGGTCTGTTGCAACTTGGCAATTTCTGTGATCCAAGTAAACTGAAGTATACACCCTCTTTTTTTATAGCCCTGCAGTTTTAAATCTTAGGGTATGGTACTCTAGGAAGTATGGTACACTCTGTGTAGCCGCTCTAAGCCGACGGGAGAGAGCTCTCCTGTTGATTTAATTAATCCACTGCCAACAAGTGGTGGCAGCTATGTCAGTGGGAGAAGCTCTCTCAGAGACATAGCACTGTGCACACTCGTGCTTATGTCGGTATAAGTTGTCACCCAGGGGGCTGGGTAATTCACAGCCCTGAGCGACATAACTTATATCGATTTAAGCTGTAGTGTAGCCATACTCTTAGTTATAGAGGATGTTTATTTTTAAACTTTCCTATTATCCATAGAGAGTTTTTACTAACAAATCTCTATTTTCCTTTTTATTATATGATGGATTTTAGAAACTCCAACTTGGCTTTTCTTTTTTGCCTGTAAGAAATGCGTCCTTAAACATTACTTTGTTAAGTTTGTCCCATGTTAGGGAATGTCCCACCATTCCAGCATTGTCTGTGCTAGCAATTTTCTTAAAATGTCCCATCTTTGCACTGCCACTGTTGGGAGTAATGGTGGGAGCAATGGCAGCCTTAAATGTGGGTGCACATACAGAACATCTGAATGTGCCTCATTATTCCTAAAGGTGAAATCCTGCTCCCCCTCCTCCTTCTGCAGCCATAGAAGGGGTAAAATGCACCTGTGGTCCTACTGTGTATGGGTGGAGGCAGGAAGCACAGAGGAAGGAGAATACATGCAGGGGAATTTTATACTTCCTGCTCTCTTGGAGTTAAAGTATGTGACTGGCCCCAATCCATAAGTACATGTGAAGAGGTTTTGGGAGAGACTGGAGGAGTAACATGAACATGGTCAGGGGGTCCAAACTGTATGACTTCACTAGCCACAGAGTTGTTGGGTAGTGAAGTGTAGTGCTTGTAATAGTGGCTTCATAGTGATGCCCCAGGTGTCCTGCACCCTGTCTTTAGGTGAAGGGGAGCCAATTTGTGGTTTGGATGCAAAACCAGATGACACTTGACAGTTTTTTTCAGTTTTCCCTTGAGCTTCATGTTTTGTTTGATCCCCAAAAGTAGGTAATGTGAACCTAAATGAAACGATACTGTAGGATAACTCTGTACTGCAAAAAGAAAAGGAGTACTTGTGGCACCTTAGAGACTAACCAATTTATTTGAGCATGAGCTTTCGTGAGCTACAGCTCACTTCATCGGATGCATACCGTGGAAACTGCAGAAGACATTATATACACAGAGACCATGAAACAATACCTCCTCCCACCCCACGCTCCTGCTGGTAATGGCTTATCTAAAGTGATCATCAAGTTGGGCAATTTCCAGCACAAATCCAGGTTTTCTCACCCTCCGCCCCCCCCCCCACACATACTCACTCTCCTGCTGGTAATAGCCCATCCAAAGTGACCACTCTCTTTAAAATGGGCCATTTCCAGCACAAATCCAGGTATTCTCACCGCCCCCACCCCCCTCCCAAAAACCACACACACAAACTCACTCTCCTGCTGGTAATAGCTTATCCAAAGCGACCACTCTCCCTACAATGTGCATGATAATCAAGGTGGGCCATTTCCAGCACAAATCCAGGTTTTCTCACCCACCCCCCCCCACAAACTCACTCTCCTGCTGGCAATAGCTCATCCAAACTGACCACTCTCCTTACAATGTGCATGATAATCAAGGTGGGCCATTTCCACCATAAATCCAAGTTTAACCAGAACGTCGGGGGGGGGGGGGGGGTTAGAAAAAAACAAGGGGAAATAGGCTACCTTGCATAATGACTTAGCCACTCCCAGTCTCTATTTAAGCCTAAATTATTAGTATCCAATTTGCAAATGAATTCCAATTCAGCAGTTTCTCGCTGGAGTCTGGATTTGAAGTTTTTTTGTTTTAAGATAGCGACCTTCATGTCTGTGATTGCGTGACCAGAGAGATTGAAGTGTTCTCCGACTGGTTTATGAATGTTATAATTCTTGACATCTGATTTGTGTCCATTTATTCTTTTTCGTAGAGATTGTCCAGTTTGACCAATGTACATGGCAGAGGGGCATTGCTGGCACATGATGGCATATATCACATTGGTGGATGTGCAGGTGAATGAGCCTCTGATAGTGTGGCTGATGTTATTAGGCCCTTTGATGGTGTCCCCTGAATAGATATGTGGGCACAGTTGGAAACGGGCTTTCCGATGAAGTGAGCTGTAGCTCACGAAAGCTCATGCTCAAATAAATTGGTTAGTCTCTAAGGTGCCACAAGTACACCTTTTCTTTTTGTGAAGACAGACTAACACGGCTGTTACTCTGAAACCTGTCTGTACTGCAAGAGCTGCCAAGTTCCAGACAGACAGAGACTGCATGATGCTGGAGGGTGATCATACAGGACTGGAAGGAGAAATGGATGTATCTTACCCCTGGGGAGAAGTCACTAAAGAGGTGCTTTCCCTAGGTATAGCCACATAGATAGGTGTGACTCAGAGGACTCTTAGCAACTGATGCTCTGTTCTTTGCGAACAATTCTTGTCTCAGGCCTAACAAACTCACTACACCAAAACACATGTCTGGCAGGGTATTTATCAATAAGAGATCACATGTAAGGTACCTACAGAAAGCTCATAACTTACCAAGACTCAGAATCATTGTGAGATGTAACTACAGGTAATATTTAAATAATAATGTAACTATAGTGAAAGTATGCTTTATGGACTTGGCGTAAAAGTTAGTCACCAGAGGATAATATGGCTCGGTGATGAATGGTGAATGGGTGGTGGCCCATTCAAGCAGCTGGGAGCTGTCACCATCCCTGGTTAGTTGTTGATGTAATGCAAGGCTCAGTTTTCTAGCCTTGCTCCATCCCAAGACTCTCAATGGAAAACCATCAGAGACAACTGCAAAGAATCCGAAACCACTTGGAGGTAAAAACGCAACATTACAACAGGCGGGATATTATAGAATAGTCTATAAATAGACACAAAAGTCTGTTGCAGTATAACACAGTGGGGCAAGGCACTCTGTATCCATTCACAGTGGAAAGATCTTGAGGAGCAGAAGTATTTTCATGAAAGTTTGGATCCTTGTTCCTGTAAAGCCAGCGAGCTCTGCAACCGACTGAACTTTGGGGGGAAAACCTACTGTATTAGATAGGAAAGGCAACTATTAATAAGTGTAGATCCTAGTGCTCATTTTATTATTTTGTTTTGTATTGTAACCATTTGTTTTCATCACTCTCTCTCTTCTTTTGTTTCATTATAAGTGGTCACAAGTGTTGTGTGTTATACAGAAGTGGTAGTTTAAGGTAAAACTAGTAAACTGGGGTACACACACTTTCCATCTAAAAAAAGATATATTGGAAAAGGTACAGAGAAGGGCAACAAAAATGATTAGGGGCATGTGACATCTTCCATATAAGGAGATATTAAGAAGATTGGGACTTAGAAAAAACACAACTAAAGGTTGGGGGATAGATAGATGATAGTGGTCTGTAAAATCATGAATGGTGTGGAGAAAGTAAATAGGTGTTATTTAAACCTTCGCATAACACAAGAACCAGGGTCACCTGATGAAATTAACAGGCAGCAGGTTTAAAACCAATATAAGGAAGAATTTCTTCACATAACACACAGTCAACCTGTGGAACTTATTGCCAGGGTATATAGTAAATGCCAAAAGAATAACTGGCTTCAGAAAAGAATTAGATAAATTCATAGAGGATGAAGCCGGCTATTAGCCAAGATGGTCAGGGATGTAATCTATGCTCTGGGTGTCCCTAAACTTCCAACTGCAAGAAGGTGGGTCTGGATAATAAGGGATGAAGCACTTGAAATTGTCCTGTTCTGTTCATTCCCTCTGAAGCATGTGGCCCTGGATACTGTCAGAAGACAGGATACTGGGCTAGATGGACCATTGGTCTGACCCAGTATGGCCGTTCTTATGTTCTTATTTCTGTCAGTAACCAATGTCAGGGGCTGGATATTGCAGGGGAATGCTTCAAAGGGACTCAGGGACTGCGGTATTGTTAAGCTGCAAGATGAAACTAGGGCTGGCATAGCCCAGAGGAGAGTGGTGGAGTGGCTGAAAGGCTGGTAGTGTTAGGGAGCTAACACCCAGCCACAGTTCTGCGAGACTTCCTCTTGCTGGAGGCAGGGGATAACAAGGTGACTCACAATCCTGAGTACCCCGAGAACTGTCACAGCGGGCTTTTCAAACATGATGGTTATTTGTGAGTCATCGCCAGCATATAGAGCTGGGAACCCTCCGAACACTAACGGTTTAAATGAAGTTTTAAAATGAGGACCTCATCCAGATCCCAAGCGAGGAGTTCCCTAAAACCTTACCAAGGGTTTTCTCCAGTGATGTATTACAGTTGGGCCTTTTGTACAGTGAGGAGACCCAAAGGGATCTTGGAAACAATATAGTATAAAGGAAGTTTGTTCTGCAAGCACTGTAATTTAAATCTTTGTTGGTGATGGTATCAGTATGAGGGATTGCTAAGCAATAGACAGTGGAACCAAAATTACATAGAATCATAGGATATCAGGGTTGGAAGGGACCTCAGGAGGTCATCTAGTTCAACCTCCTGCTCAAAGCAGGACTAATCCCCAACTAAATCATCCCTGCCAGGGCTTTGTCAAGCCTGACCTTAAAAACCTCAAAGGAAGGTGTCAAGGTTCCTTCCCCACTCTGAACGCTAGGGTACAGATGTGGGGACCTGCATGAAAAACCTCCTAAGCTTCTCTTTACCAGCTTAGGTCAAAACTTCCCCAAGGTACAAAATATTCCACCCTTTGTCCTTGGATTGGCCACTACCACCACCAAACAAATACTGGTTACTGGGGAAGAGCTGTTTGGACACGTCTTTCCCCCCAAAATACTTCCCAAAACCTTGCACCCCACTTCCTGGACAAGGTTTGGTAAAAAGCCTCACCAATTTGCCTAGGTGACTACAGACCCAGACCCTTGGATCTTAAGAACAATGAACAATCCTCCCAACACTTACACCCCCCCTTTCCAGGGAAATGTTGGATAAAAAGCCTCACCACTTTGCATAGGTGACCACAGACCCAAACCCTTGGATCTGAGAACAATGAAAAAGCGTTCAGTTTTCTTACAAGAAGACTTCTAATGGAAATAGAAGTAAATAGAAATAAAGAAATGCCTCCTGTAAAATCAGGATGGTAGATACCTTACAGGGTAATTAGATTCAAAACATAGAGAACCCCTCTAGGCAAAACCTTAAGTTACAAAAAAGATACACAGACAGAAATAGTTATTCTATTCAGCACAATTCTTTTCTCAGCCATTTAAAGAAATCATAATCTAACACATACCTAGCTAGATTACTTACTAAAAGTTCTAAGACTCCATTCCTGGTCTATCCCCGGCAGAAACCAGCATATAGACAGACACACAGACCCTTTGTTTCTCTCCCTCCTCCCAGCTTTTGAAAGTATCTTGTCTCCTCATTGGTCATTTTGGTCAGGTGCCAGTGAGGTTACCTTTAGCTTCTTAACCCTTTATAGGTGAGAGGATTTTTTTCTCTGGCCAGGAGGGATTTTAAAGGGGTTTACCCTTCCCTTTATATTTATGACAGAAGGAGATATTCCACCACCTCCCTAGGTAACGCATTCCAGTGCTTCACCACCCTCCTAGTGAAAAAGTTTTTCCTAATATCCAAAAGTACAGGACTTAGCTGGAGAAAGAGGATTTCCTTACATGTATAATATTCATGTGTTCATACAGGAGCCTGGTTCTGGGAAGCTTCAGAACCCTGCCTGCTCAATTGTAGTTTTAAAGCAAGGGCAGAAACTACACATTCTTCCATACAGTTCATAGGTCACAGATTCCAAGGCCAGAAGGGACCATTGTGATCACCTAGTCTGACCTCCTGTATATCACAGGCCATAGAACTTCCCCAAAATAATTCCTAGAGCATAACTTTTAGAAAAATATCTAATCTTGTATTTAAAATGGTCAGTTACGGAGAATCCACCACAACCCTTGGTAAATTCTTTCAATGGTTTGTTACTATCATTGTTAACAATTTGTGCCTTATTTGCTGTCTGAATTTGTCTAGCTTCAACTTCCATCCACAATAATGAGGGAAGAGCTGTATTTGTTTTTGCAGCAATTTCACACCAGAAAAAAAATGTTTTCTAAGCAACAAAGAGCATTAGGGGAAAAATGCTGCAAAACCTTTCAGGCTCCGACTAAACCTGTAGCTTCTTCAGACTGAGCTCCCTTGAGTTTCTCCTGAGAGGAGATGGAGGAGTGAAATGGGTTTCTAATGCCTTTGCTGGTGCTTGTAGTTCATGGAAGGGATGTTTTACTGACTGTGCAACTGAATGACATACCTGCAACAACAACACAGTTTTTAGTACCTTGGGAGGACCAAGAAGTATGTCATCCTTAAGTGATTCCCACTCTCCCAGCATGTGGTGGTGGAGTCATGAAAATTCAACTCTTAGAACCATAGAGCAAGGTTGTAATTTTTGTCCCTTGCCGCCCTTATTTTTTAAATTACAAGCTGAATTAGGAAGAACCTGATTTTGTAGCTATCTGGGGGTTTTTGGGTGGATTGTATCCCAATGCTAAAGTTATTTCAGTCTAGTTGTTTTATAAAATTTTGTTTATTTTATGGCACAGTATTTTATACACAGTGCCAAGTCTGTAACAGAATCAAATAGCATGTTCACAAAATAAATGGACATTTAAGGACAATTGCTTAGTTAGTTGTGGCAACTTACAACTGGAAAAGCGCCAAAATGAAGAATATTGCAATTTAGCTTATGCAGAAAGTAAAAAAAAAAAAAAAAATACAGATATCCTTCTCACCTGGTGTAAATGGACACAGCTCCACTGGAACTTTGCATGTAGTTTGATCCATTTACGTCCGCTGAGGATCATGGATTTGATCCATTTACATCCACTGAGGATCTGGCCCAGAAAGAGAGGTATAAGTGTGACAGAGTTAAAGGAGAAAGTAGCTAATCATGATAACAACAAGTTTCCTTTACTGTGTCCATCCACTTTTGGGGTTTGTGTGTGAGGGGAATGTTTGTGGGAGCAAGAGGGGAGAAGTGTAGAGAGATTTTTAGGGTCATTTTGGTTAGCTTGAGCATGATCACACCATCAGACAGTAAAACACATTTTCTTTTTCATTCTAGGTACTGCAGGGACAGCTAAAGATGTGTAAGTACGTACAATGGTCTGTACACCTTCAGCACCGTAACTCGAGGGTTATTTATAAGCACATTAGCACAATAGTTCATTTTGTTATACGTGGTTCAGTTGCTACCCAATATGTTAGACCCACCATACCCTGATCTAGATGTCATCTATTGATAGCCTGCTTCCATCACCCATATAGAGACAGCAGAATCAGAGTGAAGGAACTGCTGGTGGCTCACTTACCCCTGTAGAGACAATTCCCCTTTCTACTTATATAACAAAAACTCTCCCTTTCTTTCTGACTTGTGAGACATCTGTCTCCCATGCACGCCCATGCCCCTTGTGTTTACTCATCCCTACCATGTACCGGTACACCCCAAAGCACGTTTCTCCCTTTGTGAGAAATACAGTACCCATATACATCTCTCCCACTCCATGTAAGACATTTAGGGAACAACTCCTGTACTTCACTTTCTTTGAGAGACACTTGGCAGGCACCTCATACAGACTGCCCTGCAAAAACATCCAGCATCCCCATTCTGAGCTCTAGATGAGGTCTCCTCTGCCGCTGAAGGGAAAAAAAGGGATTGCTTTTCACGGCCTAATTCCTCTCCACGTTGAAGATCGTAATTGACAGCTTCTCTCTTCTCCATCAATCTTGGTGATAAGCACTGAGAACATTCTCACCCAGTACTGCTTTTTTTTTTTTTCACATTCCCAATGAAGTGGAGAAGGCCTGAACCTCCTTTGCTCTCACTCCTGCCTCAGTGAAAAAGGAAAGCAGGAGGTAGCCTCTCACAGCCAAGTATTCACCCATTCAAGCAAAAATTTGCAGGAGTGGCCTCTCTCAACCATGTCTCCTTCAATGGGAGAAGGTATAAAAGAAGGCCTCCCAAACTCTAGCTCTTGCTTCCCTCTGGTGCAGGGGATAAACCTTTTATTACTAGAGTTTGAGCTTTGCCGTGAGTCCAAGTAACCTGAACAAAAATTGAAGTTACTAAGTAAAAAAAAATTCTTGAATTTAATTCAGTTTTTTTTAGACAAACTACTTTGAGTAGGTAGAAGAATCCCAGTATAGAAATGAGTGCTGCCGTCACATCTAAATAACAGTAGATAAATGCATAACAATAGCTCTGTGTCTGCTACCACAGTTCAGAGCCAAGAACCAAAGATGGACAATGTAACAGATGAATACTGATGTCATAGGTAATTTCAAGATCTACTTGAACATGTAACTTATTTTCTAAATTTTCATTGTCACTGATTGGAAAATGAATGGACTACTTAGGGCAAGTTTATGGGGGAATATCCCTTGACATAGACTACTGGACCCATGCCTTTAATAATTTTTATATATATAAAGATGCTAGTCTTTATTTACACTAAGGCCTCTTTACACAACTTTGGCAGTATAAAGGTGCCTGAAAGCGTGCATACATTAAATTTGCACCCATTTGAAGGCCGTTTTTACACTGCCAAAGCAGTATAAAGGTCCTAAGTGTAAATGAGAACCAGGCCTAAAAATCACTTTCCATAAATGGCAGAATATTTTTTGTTAAGTAATAAGTCTCTTTACAAATCAGAAATGGTGTATTATATAACATTTACCACTTAGCCCTTTTAATGTATTTTAAAGCATTGTACAAACATTAATTAAGCCAGTTTAATTAAATTTGGATATATTCTGATTTGGATTTGATAAGAACCTATGAGGTTTTTTCATTCAAGAGTTTGTCCATTTGAGTTTGTCTGTTTTTTGAGAAATAAATTGTTGGCCTTGCTCTTCCTTTAGTTTTGGACCCCAGAAATGCAAACATTATGAAAATGAGTTCAGTGGGACTACTCAAGTGCATAAAGATACCTGTGCATGTGACGGGTTTCAGAGTTGCAGCCATGTTAGTCTGTATGCGCAAAAAGAAAAGGAGGACTAGTGGCACCTTAGAGACTAACCAATTTATTTGAGCGTAAGCTTTCGTGAGCTACAGCTCAATGCATCCGATGAAGTGAGCTGCAGCTCACGAAAGCTTATGCTGAAATAAATTGGTTAGTCTCTAAGGTGCCACTAGTCCTCCTTTTCTTTTTGTGCATGTGAATGTGTTTGCAGTTCAGGTGCCTTATGACTTACATGAGGAAAATGCTATTCATTTGTATGTATCATCTGTCACTTTTAAAAAAATAACTTGGATTAATGCTACTTACAGTCTGTCTTGTCAATGATTAAAGTTATTGTTAATGGCTTTAAGTTGTACAAAGAAACAATTCTGGATGTTGACAAATAACCCACGTGGAAAGGAGTTTTAGAATTTTCTTAGAGGAAGAACCAGGTCTTATTAAAATATCAGATGAGCAGAGAAAGTCTAAATACTGAAGCAAACTGTGGGCCATTCTTGCAACCATTATTTATTCAGATAGTCATAGTGAAGCCAATGGAACTACTTGGATGGGTAATATTTGCTGGATTGAGCCTTCTAGCCAGATAATAGAAACAAATCCACAGTAATGGGCTATCGTAATGGCAATCAGAAAAGTCCTACATCAGTCATTCTAATATTTCCTTTAACAGCAAATTTTCAAAAGGGGAATAAGATACTAGAAAAAAAAATTTGTTTTGTGAAAATGAGCAAAGTGGATAAATATAACTAAAATCATGGATTTAAAAAAACTCTTAATCTTTGACACCTTCTCACTTTCATTAGCTAAGAATTTATAAAAGTTTTTAAAATTTATTGGCACAAGAATAGTTATTTTGATCATATTGGTCTTTATCCAGCAAAGCACTCAAGCACATTCTTAACTTCAAGCTTGAGTAGTCTTATTGAATTCCAGTGGGACTGATTTGTTGAATTCAATGGCACTACTCGCATGCTAAACTTAAGCAAATGCTTAAGTACTTTGCTAGATCAGGGTCATAAGATACTCTGAAGCAGTGTATCCTAGCAGGTGTGGCACTGGAGTGGGACTTAGGAGACATGGGTTCTGTGCCCAACTTTGCTATTATTTTAGTGGGTGACCTTGGGAAAGTCACATCCCTCCCTGTTCCTCAGTTTCCCTATATGTAAAATGGGGATAATGATACTAACCTCCTTTGTAAAGCACTATGAGATCTGTTGGTGAAAAGCACTATATAAGAGCTAGGTATTAATATCTGTCATTTTAAAATTGTGTTTTGGAACTTTTCATTTTTATCTCTTAAAGTAATTTTAGATGCTCATTTGCGAGCTGATCCAGCATCCTTGAAAACAATGGGATATTTATTATTGACTTCAAAGGGAGCATGACCTAGCCCTTAAACTGGAAATGGCCTAAGTTATAAAAGAAGAAGTCAGTTATTTTGAAGTCAGTTGAAAATGAGAAGTTTAAACAGACACCACCACTGTGAAGCAGCCACCTCTGGATTAGAGAGTAGCAAATAACTAATGCATAGGTCATTGCACAATAGAGAAGGAAAATTTTTGGCCCAGAACACAGAAGCAAACACCTTCTCCTGTGAAAAATGCCATGGGATCTTTATTTCCCATAACAAAAACAAAAAAAACCCACCAAAGCCCCAGACCCAGGTTATAATGAGAGAAATTGTGGCTAGAAGTTTGGGAGATATAACACAAAACAAACTAAAAGATTGGTGTGGAAAAACTAAAAATGTGGAGAGTAATTAAATGCTAAATGAGTTTAAATGAAGGAGTGATAATGGAAAATTATGTACTGGAAAATAAAGTGATGACGGTTATGCACAGAAATGTGGATTAATTCAGATGAAGATAAGCAGTAGTAACAATTCAGGACACAGCATTTTGGAGCCCATGGTAGCGAACCTCCCAGCCTAGGTCAATAGACGCGAGTTAACAAGGTTCACACCAGTGCTCTGAATATAGCTGTGTGTAGACGGCGCTTAAAAGTTGCGGCTCAACTTGGAGCCACAACTTCAAAGTGCTGTCTCTGCAACTATTTTTGTAGTGCTGGCCCGAGCCCTGTGGGCCCAAGTCTGTCAACCTGGGCTGAGAGACTCGCTGTCTTGGGCTCGGAAATGCTGTGTAGACATACCCAAGGTCTAAAAGCTGTTTCAAAATGTAGGACAAAAATACAAAGGTTGCAAAAGAGTAGTCTCATCCTCCCAAGAAACATTTAGAAATTAAAGAGTTGAAACTGTCAGCTTGAGTGCAGTGCAATGAATTGTCTCGGTTGAGCAGGAGGAGGACTGAATGAAAGGAACGTTAATAGAGAATTTTAGAGAGTCTGACGCCTGGATACAAATGAATAAAATCAGAAATGTTAAGAAAAGGAAAAAATGGATGGACAGCAGTATTGCGAATCCAAGAAATTTTAAACTCAAATACTATTTGAAAAATGGCAGCTTGTGTGTGTCAGAAAATGGACATGGAATATGGAAAATGATGACTAAAGAACCAATATCAGGAGTCTTAACTGTACTTTCCAAACATAACAGTATGACAAGAGTGTTTCCAGGAAAGAAGAGTTTCACTGGAAGAGGAATTTCTTCTAGCTGAAAGGAGAATGCTGTTACATGGCATTGATGTTAAATCCCTCTAACAGCTATGGAACGCCTCTCCATCTAAGATACCAATTTGAAAATATAATCCTATTTTCCTTGCAGTAGATGCTAGTTTCTGAGGAAAGATGTAGTGGCACAAAAGCAGACCAGCACTGAACACTAGGGCTGGATGCGGTCTACTAGGTTCCTCTTTTGCTAATTACATGGCATGAAATGAACTTAAACCAGCTCGAGATTTCCCCTAGGAAATTCCCCCTGTTTAGGGGGAAATCTCCCCTTGTGTAAAACTGGTAAAAGCACCCTACCTGCTTTTTACACCAGCTGCCCACCTCATCGCCAGTGTAAGCAGGAGGCGGGGGCACATCTGGCGTGGATGGTGGGGCAGGACAGGAAGAGATGCAGTAGAGCCAAGTTCTATTATGTCTGATCCCTTTCTGGTGTAAGATCTGGCAATTATGCCAATGGCAGAAGTCAGAGGAGGCAGCTTTCTGCTGTAACTTCCACTGAGGCCAAGTGATTGAGGATCAGAAAGCTGTAACCAGCTCCCAGCAGCCCCTACTGTCCATTATATCTGAGCACAGAATGAGAATCAGGCCTTGTGTGTCTCATATTTGCACCCACAAATTTCGGCATGCAAAATTATGTTGGTCTTTAAACTGTAAAGGCAAGAAGTGTATAACTATATGTAGTGCAATAAATTGGAGCCGTATTAAGTCCCACAGTGCTAACAAAAGGGACCCCGGAGGAGAATGCAACAGTGAGTGGCTGCTTCCCCCTCTATCATCTCCCACCACTTGTTCTTCATTTTGCGGATTTGCCTTGGAACCTCAGCTTTGAGTTGATGGCAGATGTATTACTTCTGCTTGGAATTGATGTCATTCTGCCAAGCACAGAAGGTCTTGGCTTATGGTCCATCAAGTCTTGGATTTCCTGATCGTTCTTGTCAAAGCAGTCTTGGTGCTTCCTGGTTGAGAAACCCAGTGTTCTCTCAAATGCATCATAAACAGCCGATTTGAGCACTTTCCAGTGATCTTCGAAGCTCTCCATCTCAGTTTTGATATTCATCAGTTTCTCGGTGAGGCACTGCTGAGAAAGGTCACGTTTAGTTGGGTCCTTAAGACTCTCAACTTTGATCTTCCCTCTGGCTGATTTCTTTTGCATGCACAAATTATTACCAAACCTCCAGTGTTAAAAAGATCCATATATCCCTATGTTGGAGACCCCAGGGTATGGCCACTAGTTAAGTTGAGGGGATGGAAGGCCATAAGGGTCGAGGAAGTCTCCCTGCTGAAGGCCTAAGGGCTTCTTCTCAACCCCCCTTAATAGAATTCAGGCCTGGCTGGTTTGAGTAAGCTCTTTTGCTCTTAAAACAATGTTGCAGCCGCAGATAATGCCTTATAGTGTAAGGTTTGCTGACGCCAAGCTAAAAATAATAGAAGAGACAGTTACAAGGCCAGACAGAATGTGCTGGTTGTTTAAGTTGCTAGGAATGCTTGTTAGAGGTTGCAGGAAATAAACATTGTTGTAACCCATATAAGGAAGGCAGAGTATTTGTGTAAAGTTTTAATTGGCTAATGTGTAGTGCAGTAGCATTAAGGAATATAAAAGTGTGTGTAATGACCTGCTCTGGTGTGCAGGATTTGAGATTCTATTCTCCCTGTACCTTGTTTGCAGCTGCAAATAAACTTTTCTGCTTCTCCACCCCATTGTGATTATTGAGTGAAGCACTCCGGGTAACGAACCCCCCTTGCTGTTGTTTTGCCTCTCGGCAAACTGGGTGCCGACAACAGCTTTTGGCGTCCCAATGTGGGGCAACGAGGCTGCAATTTAGCCTTGCCCGGATCCCTTCTGGAGGTCGAGGATTGCAGCAACAACCGATGCCCAGCGCGCACCGGTGAGTTCATCGGGGGCCTCGGAGAAGACGCAGTTTGATCGACCCCAGAGGGCACGATGGTGCAACGCACTCATATAGTGGAGAAGCAGCTGTGGGCGACGGTGAGGAACCGGTCCCTTGTCTGCACAGTGGCAAAGGCCATTAACTTAATCTCAACCGTCCTGACCCAACTCTCACATGAGTTAGGGGAAGTACGTCAGGGTATGCTACAGAACAGGCTGGCTGTGAACTATTTGCTTCTACGCCATGGTCACCTATGCCAGAAGTTTGCAGGCATGTGTTGCTTTAATATAACAGATGCAGGGCCATCAGTAAAAGCTGATTTACAACGCCTAAAGCAGCTGGCAAAGGGCATTCATCAGCAAACTGGGGAGGATTGGCTAGGCTCTCTATTTTCTGGTTGGGGCCTGTGGCTAAGTGGCAGGGGAAAAGCAAAGTGTAAAGCCTTTCTAAGGGCAAGAAAAGCTATCAGGCAAGTTAATAGCTGTTGGGCCACAAAACTGCCAGTGTCCCCTTTTAGAATGATTCTGGAGTCTTTCACTTCAGCCAGCTGACTATCAGAAAAAGATACAAATTGATATCTAGCAGACATATGGGCAAAGGATCCATACCTGCGCACATCTCCTCCTTTTGTGCTGACTTGTGGGGGGTACCTTAGTCATCTCCGTGGCACTGTCTCCTATCTTCCAGACCTTGTAGAGTCCCTTCTGAACAGTCTGGGGTTTGTCTGAGGGAGCTAGGGGAGATTTGGTGGGCTGGGAGAGGAATAGGCAGGCTGAGGCAGGGTTGTAAGGAGGTACACAGTTCCCACCACCTTTGGAAGATAACTAGAAAAGATGATACATCCCCAGGAACCCACTAGACAAGTCTCCTGGGGGCAGCCATGGCTGGGGGTAATTTTTGGTTGTGCGGTTCCATTTGACTGCAGTTTTAGTTTGCCAAGGTGTTGGGGACCATAGCTGGTATAGAGGCACTGGTTCTTCATGCAGACAGCCCTGGCTATCCAGGTCGAGGTATCCCATGACTTATTCTGTGGGGGGCGGTCCCTCTCCCCCCGTCCCGCCCCCATAGGACAGTGTGAAAAGACAGGAAATCCTTGTGAGAGAATTCTCCCAGAGGCTGCCTCCCCTTCGGCCTCTCCTGCTGGATTTTCTGTGGGAGGGGATGAACTGGGCCAGAGTAATATCAGAGATTCCATAACGCCATGCTAATTATATGCTAAGTTGATTGAAGTTCTGAATTTTGCTGCCTTCTTTGCTGGTGCTCCGTTGGTGGGGAAGAAGAGAGCTTATCTTCTTATTATACAGTATATCTTCAAGGCAATAGATAGCTGAGTGGAAAGAAGATTAAAATGGTAGGAAATTATTGCTATCCAAACATTTTTACTATCCAAACAAATTTTGTTTCTATTTAAGGCCATATCCCGCTTCCTGCCATCTATGAAACTCCCATGGGCTTAGTGCAACAATTGCAGGATAGTGCTTTGCCGACTGAACAGACAACACATTTATATTTTTAAATAAATGATTAGTAATGATAAATGTTTTAAGCCACTTTTTAATACTATAGTTCAGAAATGCCTTCTAAGGGCTAGATTGTGGATTTATCACTGGGGCTGAGTAAGGGGCAACACACAGTTCTATTGCTCTAGCAGCAGACCAGGGTCTAAATGGTAACTCCGAGAGTAACAGTTTAGTCTCTGTTTTCCACACTGGTTGAAGGGTGAAGTAATCTGTGCCAACCCTATACCTGATACTGATTACTCTGCCCTCCACATCAGACCAGCTGTGCTAGCTAGCACACTGATGAGCAGAGTCAAAAATCCACCCACTCCCTATGGATGCATAAGACAAGCCATAATCTTGCCCTAAGTGTCTAATAAAAGTCATAGTCTATTTATAAAGGTTTAAATAACTGAGTCCAAATCAGATTATTCAGCTTTTCTTTTGCATCAAAGAAATTTAACATTTGTTTTACAGAAAGGTTCTATAAGATCTTCTGACTGGACATTTATGAAAGACTAGTTCACTCTGTTGTCAAGTCTTGTTCTCTTATACACATTATACGTTGTTAAGTAATAAATGTTTCTTTCTCTTATATAGGTAGGTGAGGTAGGCACCAAATACTGAACAGTAACTCTAGATTACACTCTGATTGATCATTCTCTTCCTCTGCCTCCCACTGAAACTAAACAGTAGATGAATGGAGCAATTGTAATAAACTGATTGCAAATGAGTTTTATATGTTTTTGTAAATTATAGAACAGAAGAATCGGTGTCAGAAGATGACAAAAGGAGGTAGGATTTGTACTGGGAATGGCTTTAATTCGAATAGCTCAGACAGAATTCTGCCATCAAATGAGGATCACCAGTTGTCACGGAGTGTGGGGGAGTCAGGGCCCTGCACCCCCCACTTCCTGTGATTCACCATGACTCTCAGCCAGCCAGTAAAACAGAAGGGTTATTAGACAACAGGAACACAGTCCAAAACTGAGCTTGTAGGTACAGAAAACAGGACCCCTCAGTCAGGTCCATCTTAGGGGTTAGGGAGCCCAGACCCTGGTGCTGGGCCTCCCTCTGTTTCCCCAGCCAGCTCCAAACTGAAACTCCCTCCAGCCCCTCCTCTGGCCTTCATCTCTTTCCCAGGCAAGGAGGCCACCTGATCTCTTTGTTCTCCAACACAGCAGGTGAGGGGCCCAGGCCATCAGTTGCCAGGAGTCAGGGTGTCGGCCATTCTCTATGCAGACAGCATCACACTGGCCCTCCAGGGCTCTGCAACAATCACACACCCTTATCCCACCACCTAGATACTTAAGAAATGCATAGGGGAAACTGAGGCACCCACACAGTATTCAGAGAAAACATTAAGAACAGTCCCACTTAATCACACCTAGAAAAAAACAAAGGGAGGGGATATGGGGGAAGAAATCTCCACGAGGATCCCTCTGTAGAGTTCCTCCCTTGCATTTTGTTGTGGATGGGGTTTTGCCTACTCACGAAATAGGCCACTGAGCCCAGCCCCCAAACCTTGCAGATCTCAAGGGATCTGCCAGTGGAAAAAAGACTATTGCTGCAGAAGACCTCTGCCTTCACACCAACTGTGGCTCCTGGCTTTATTAGAGTCAGGTCCCTAGGGACCCTGGGCTTGGGGTGTGGGTGCTCTGCAGAAAGATAATACATAACATAATAATTATAGGCTGTATTATAATTTCTGAGGAATCTCTCCTGGGCTGGAAGGGAGAAGAAAGATATATGTTCCACCTCACCCATTCCTCCCCTTGCCCACCTCGTGTTTTCCCCATCCCCCCAGTCAGATCTCAGACCCCTGAAACACCCTCCATTGGGCTCACAGGAGGAGGGGGATGGACTGTGGAGGCATTTGGCACCCATACGCCTTCTGCATGTAGACAGGCCTCCCCATGCATGGCTGTGTGGAGGGGGATCCAGGCCCTTTTTTACTAAATGGTGGGGGGGGGCACATGGCCCCCTTTTTTGTGTGCATCATGCAAGTGAGTTGCGTAAATTGTCTCCATAGCATACATTACTAGCAGATTAAATCTCCCATCAGGCAAACACTGGCTAACTTTGCGGGTAAGAAAGAAGAGTCTGTCAGAGGGTATTTGTTGCCATGAAAAGGTTGGGTTTTGATGGAAAGTATGACGAACTTGGTTGAGGACCCATTAGCTCTGTGCTCCCTTTCTAGCATAGGTTCCTTTTTAAAATCAATGGCCAGCCTAAATTTATTTTTGTCAAACAAGGGCTTAGTTTTAATAAAAACATTACATTTAAAATTGCAGCCTTCTTAATATACATTGGAAACAAGGGATTCTTTTATAAAAGTAGTTACAAAGCATCCTCTGTTTGTCCATCTATGGCCTTTCTAATGCGGCTGTTTTATGTAGGCAGTCTATGCGAAAGCATTAACACTAAGCCATGATTTCTCTTCAAATAAGGAACTATGGTGGTGTATACGTTGGTCTGCCATCAGAGGCTGCTACCATGGCTCCCAGTCAGAAAAAGACTGAACCTAAAGGTACTTGTAGATTGCTTTCTCCATTCATTTTAATCTTTTAAAATATATATGTTATTTCAGTAAGACTGACCAGCATAGGGAGCAATTTAATTGCATTTACAGGAATTATTTACAGTAGCTATGGTCATTGTTCCCATTTGTTTAAATTTCCATCCACCTACTGTAGTAATCATAAAGCAACAATCTGCTTCTGACCATGATATGCAGTATTTTGTCTCTCATGAGTAACTTTAATATAATTTTTCAGTGTTTTTAGTGGTATTCAGTGTAAACACCTCACAGGATTAAGAGGCTGTGATATATATTTAAAGAGTTTTAGTGCTTTTTATAGTTCTGAATGTATTTACTTAAATTGTGCTTTATTCCAACAATAGCAAGACAGTGAATGCTTGATTTCAGATTTAGTTCTGTTCTGTCTATCTTATGCTGAACCCATCACAATTTTATACTTTTTCTTGAGGCAGGGAGAACATGTATTAGCTTTAAAGATTCTTGCTTGATAACAAGAGAATGATATGACATACTTTATATATATATATATATATATACACACGCACGCATACACACACACACACACTGTTTTATTAAGTATAAAAATATAAGATAGATACTTACATAAAGTATCTTATATTTGTATACTTAATAAAACAGTGTCTGTGTTGTGACACATGGGGCTCTGATCCCTGATTGGGGAGGTCTAGATGCGACCACTATACAAGCAGATAATAATAAATTCAGTTGATATAGAAAACGAATAACCTGTTGCATTGTATTACATTCCATGGTGTTTAAAATTAATAATATACTATATTTTAACTATATGCCTTTCCTTTTAAGATTAGAGGAAAATAATACACCAAGATTCAATCATCAGGAGGTACAGTATGATTTAACAAATTTTATATGTGTAGAATTTATTACTAAAAAGAAAAGAATTCAAATAACCACATTTCTTATGTTGCTATCACGTGTTTTTGGACTTACTTTACAGTACTGACAACGCCATTATAAATGTATTGGCTGAAATAAGTTCTGATCTTGTAGTGTTACTGAGAGCCTCTGGTGAGAAGCTGTGTGCCCTCAGTTGCCATTTACTTTAATGAGAGTAAAGGTGCTCAGCACTTGGTAGACTCAGGCCAGTAAACTTGAAGAAGGTTTTAATGGAAGCAGGTCATTTGCGATTACAGTACTTATTTTCAGATTTAGCACAAATGCAAGGGCCAGGGCATGGTTTGGCACCAAATATAGAAAACAGGTGAGGTATTAGACTATTTCCATGGAGCTGTCTTAATAATATATAAGATATCTATGGCTTGATCCTCCAAGATACTGAATAGAGATGGTAAAAAAAAAAAGGGGGGGGGAGTTCCCCACAGAAAATTTTGGTGAAAAGGGAAAAAAAAATTTCATTTAAATTTTCCATGGGAAATTTAGATGTTTCAGTGGGAATTCAAAGTTTCAAACGTTTAATTTGAAAAAAACAAAATATTTTAGTTTAGTGATGGGTTTTTCAAAATAATAATAAAATTTCCATAGAAATTTCCATAGAAAGCAGACACTTTAGTTTAATCAAAAATCCAGTTTTTCCACCAAAAAAACAGTTCAAATGGAAAAGTTTTGAGCAGTGTTAAGCATTTTGGCTGCAATCCAGTAAAGCACTTAAGCACATGGTTAGTTAAAGCATGTGCATGGTCCCTTTGGCTTCATCGGGACTACTCATATACTTAAAAGTATATTTCTTGAAGTTGGATCCTTTTCCCATTCAACCCAATGGAAGAACTGCCATTGACTTGAATGGTGCAGGATCAAGCCCTTGCTTGCTGAATCAGTGCCTCATGTTGGGAAGACTTACACATGTGCAACTTTACACATGTGAAGCATCCCATTGAACTCTACAGGACTGCTCACAAACACTTTGGTTTGCAGTATCTGGGCGCTGAAGCCCCTACTGCATTTCTAACAAAGACATAGTTAATGTTTAACAGATTCTGTTTAAAAAGTGCTAATGTCTCATTGTATCATTATATCAGTCCATCTAAAACTATTTTTTTCTTTGAATCAGTCCTTTGCATAGATCACTCATCTAAACTTAAGGGACAGCTGTCTTTCTGCTGAAGATTTTTATATATCCAGCCAGCAAGAAAGTTCAAAGCACCAAAAATCTTAATTGTTGCAAGGTACAACTACGGGTAAAGTTTAATGGTACAGTATGGAATCAATTGGATTGTGATGGTTGCATTATGGAACCTTCTGCTGTCCTCCAGTGAAAAATGAATTAATGAACTTATGGTGGATATTTCTGCACAAGAGCTAATTTGACAATCTGCAGCATATTTTCTCCAACAATTTTTGATAGTTTTTATATAAGAAAATCATTGCTACTTGTTCACTTAATAGTTCCTATGGTAGGTTACTGAAAAATAATTATTAATTTACTTCAGAGTAATATATTTGACATTTGCATCTTTTAGTACAGCTGCAGATTTTAAGGATATTTTTGCTGTGAGTAGGATAGCGGGGCATAAGGTCATCAGATTCTTATAGATGTCACTTTTATACAGTGGACCAACTATTGACATTTAATTTTCACCTTTTAAAAATATATTATTGTTCAAGGAAATTTATTTACATAGGAATAATGTACTTCATTGCAATATTTTTCAATGGAATGCTAATTTTTGCCTGTCATTATTTCTTTCAGATTTATTTCTTCACAAAGCATTAAAGGAAAAATATAACTACTGCCTACCACATTATTGTGTTATGTCTTCCATTTTATGTAATATCATAATGATATTTTCTCATACAAAGATGATAGTGATGATGTTGCCAGAGATAGCTGGACTAAACCTCAAATCTGCACATTCCTAAACTCTAGAGAGGAGTTTTGATTAGTCTTCAAGTTTTGTACCTCAAGTTTGTCTCTGAGCATTTCAGTATGTATGGTAAATTGCAATAGGGTAAATGTTCTGTTACTTCTGTATACTGTAGGGTTTAATGATGGATGGGTCATTAAAAACCCATTAACTTCATAACTACTGAAAGTTTCCCACAAAACACCAAACTAATTGTACATTTCCACATGGCTGAAAGTGATTTTAAATGATTAAAGCATTTTGCATAATTCTTTAGTCAAGTTCTTTTTCTAACAGGACATAATATGGCATACATCCAAAAAGCCAACCCTTTAATATGTTTCAATAAAGTAAAGACTGCTTTTAAAAACAAAAAACAAAACAGGAACATTTGGACATCCAGAAGTAAGCTATTAAGAGCTATACCATATACTCAGTCATCATGTGCAAATTCCCACTGATTTAACCAAAACGTATGAAGGTCAGTATATGACAATGCTTTTTGAATCACAACAATTTACAGCACTTAGCTGTAAAGTACACAGTAATTTGTTGGGAGACAGGCCTGCAAAAAAAAGGAATTTTTGAAAGGATTCCATGCTTCCACCCACACCCTCCCACCCCAGAACAGCTAAATGTTATTTGTATTTACTACCTTCCTCTTCTGTATCAACATTTTTTCCATCCTCCCAAAGGCAAAAAAAGTCACTCATTTGAGCTCTTTGCTCTATAGTAAACAGTCAGTAGGTTTTGGAGGGTTAAAAATAGAATTGTAATAATAAATGTCTGGAAAAGTAAATTACATCTTCTTACTTACAAGCTGAAGAAAGTTTCCTGTTGAGAACTCTAACAACACTTGATAAAAGAAAAGAAAAGGAGTACTTGTGCCACTTTAGATGCATCCGATGAAGTGAGCTGTAGTTCACGAAAGCTTATGCTCAAATAAATTTGTTAGTCTCTAAGGTGCCACAAGTCCTCCTTTTATTTTTGCGAATACAGACGATCACGGCTGCTACTTTGTAACACTTGATAAGAAACTTTCTTATCTTCTCATTACTGGTTTAATATATGGATATCGCTATTACATCACCTGTTACATAAGGATTTCTATTGTTTAAGCAGCTTGGGCAACACCAGATTTGTTCAGATGGCCGAGAACAATTAGGCCCATTTCTGACCTTGATCATGAATGCCTTTCCTGACGGAGGAAATCTTCCAATCAGCCTGAAGCACACAATAGTTCAGCCAGTGCTCTAGAAGCCATCACTGGATGCCAGTAACTTCATTAACTACTAGCCCATCTCCATCCTGTTTCTGGGAAGAATCTTCAAGAGAATGGAGACAACTAAATTCCATCAGCACTTGTCTTATACCAGCATCCTAGACCACACACATGGCTCAGAAAAGGAGACAGGGATAAACTCCTCTTGGGAGAGTCAAGGATCAGAAGGGTAGCCGTGTTAGTCTGGATCTGTAAAAGCGGCAAAGAGTCCTGTGGCACCTTATAGATGAACAGATGTATTGGAGCATGCATCTACATGCATCCAATGAAGTGGGTATTCACCCACGAAAGCTTATGCTCCAATATGTCTGTCAGTCTAGAAGATGCCACAGGACTCTTTGTTGTTTCTTGGGAGAGTGATATTTATGGGACAATATCATCATATGTGTTTCTGTTGCTATATGTTACCATTTCCTGTTTTCATATGTTGTTTAATTTGGGGTTTTTTCAGATCCTCTCAGGAGGCATTCAGTTCAGCTCCTCACAGGATCAGCCCCTTGGGGATCCGGCCTCTGAATATTGAGGAGTTTTCTTTGTTTCTTATTGTTTTTGTTTCTCTCCATCTTTTTTTCTTCACAGCTTATTGACCAACTGCCAAATGCTTCAGTATGGTTGCACAGAACTTCAGCTGGAGTAATTCAAAGGAGCTACACCAGTTTACACCAGCTGAGGATCTGGGTGTATGTCCTTTAATTTGAATTGCAAGTTTCTTCTTTCACTTTTCCAAAGACCTGTACATCTAGGAACTGTGCTATTATAGAATGTTCCTTTTGAAAGACATAAAACTGAGGTTCTTAATGTTTGTAACAGTGATTTAAAGATCTAATGGTGCCTTTTGCAAGAACAGATGAGTTAACCAATTCTCCTGGCTAAATCCCAATTTAGGGAAGTGCATTCTGTCTCATCAACATTCCTCCTGCTGTTTCAGTTGGATAAAATATTTCACTTTGCTTTCTCTCCTAAACTGTTGTATATGTTGCTGTATGCCGTTAAAGAGCTGCTGTTTTTTTAAAAAAATAATTACTTCTTTTATTAACAATATCTTAGAGCAGTGGTTCTCAAAGCCGCCGCCTGTTCAGGGAAAGCCCCTGGCGGGCCAGACCGGTTTGTTTACCTGCCGTGCCCGCAGGTTTGGCCGATCGCAGCTCCCACTCACCACGGTTCGCCGCTCCAGGCCAATGGGGGCTGCGGGAAGCAGCACGGGCCAAGGGACATGCTGGCTGCCCTTCCCGCAGCCCCCATTGGCCTGGAGCGGCGAACTGCAGCCAGTGGGAGCTGCAGTCGTCCGAACCTGCAGGCGCATCAGGTAAACAAACCGCTCCGGCCCGCCAGGGGCTTTCCCTGAACAAGCGGCGGACAGGCTTTGAGAACCACTATCTTAGATCACTGTAAAATTTACATGGCACTTTATATTCATATAGAAGACATATTCCCAGCGCTGAAGTTTTCCATCTCAGGGTGATTTAAAGAAAAAAACGTTAGAAGTTAAGTTTAGAAGAACAAAATCTAAAGAGACTTGTCGTGCTCATTTGCAGAGAAAAACACTCTGAACAAATTGTAGCTACAGTGCAACGTTCTCTGGTCAAAAACATATACCCATAATTAGTCCAGTCAGTCCACAGTTCAGGAGTTCTCCCAGATTCCTTGCTAACACAGAGGGTATGTTTACACTGCAGCTAGAGGTGTAATTCCCAGTTTGGGTAAATGTACACGCACTAGCTTTGATGGAGCTAGCATACTAAAAATAGCGATTCAGGTGGCAGGTTGGGGAAATACAATCCCAGCCGAGACTCTAGGTAAGTACTTGGGTGGCTAGTCCACACCGCTGTCCACAATGCCACAGCTCTGGTGCTATTTTTAGCACGCTAGCTTGATGAAAGCGAGTGCATGTACATTTACCAAAACTGGAAATTACATCTCCAGTGTTAGTGTGGACCTACTCTCCAATCTCAGGTCCCTGAGTAATGCATCCTACTATCTCCAGCTGCCTAGGACACTACATCCCATCCCTGTGGACAATGTCCTAGGCAGCTGGAGACGGTAGGACACATTACTCGTGGGCACTGCTATATGAGCAGCAGCCATTCATCAGCACGTGGGTCACCATGAGCACATCAACCCCATTTTTCTGATCACTATATAGGCTTATGTTAGGATGAATAAGAATGGTATGGAGGATAACACAGAATATTAATGATATAGCCTCATCTGGAACACTACTGCACTGCTGGACTCCCTGTCTAAAAAGGATAATACAAAATTAGAGGGGGCTTGGAAAAGAGTGACAAGAATGATTAAGGGCCTGGAAAAAAACTCTTTAAAAAGAGAGATCAAAGAGATTGGGATTGTTTAATTTAGAAAGGAGCAGGGTCGATTTGATTTAAATCAAACTGATTTAAATCATGATTTAAATCACTACTCAGGAAGACTCAATTTAATCATGGATTTCTACATAAAAGTGCATTCTTGTTGGTTGTTATAACCTCAATACATATTCTTCACAACTCAGAGATAGACGTAGATTTCATTTTTAGAAGGTACACACTATACATTTTAAAAGTGATTTATTTTGAAAACTTTTCATATTAGTTTTACAGCTATATCAGAAAATGAATGATTGTTTGGTTATTTAATTTACCAAAGGTAATTGAAGCAGATATTTATGAAGTCACTGGGCGGTGAACTATCTCCAATTCAACAGGTGAATCATTAATATTTGGAGGATTTTCTTGCCATGCTGTATTAGGAAGAGAACATCACCAGACAGACATTTAAATTGTTTTATTTAACTATTCCTCACCTTTATATATTTATTTATTTATTTTAAAACATTTTTGCTGTTAACAAGCATGTTATCTCCGGAGACACAAATCCACAGTTTGAGAACTGCAAAACTAAGCATCTCTGATGGTATCTTCTAGACCGGGGTGGGCAAACTCCGGCCCAGGGGCCGCATCCGGCCCTCCAGACATTTTAATCTGGCCCTTGAGCTCCTGCCAGGGAGTGGGGTCCGGGGCTTGTCCTGCTCCGCGCAGCTCCTGGAACCAGCGGCATGTCCCCTCTCTGACTCTTATGCATAGGAGCAGCTTGGGGGCTCTGCACGCTGCCCCCACTCCAGGCGCTGTCCCCGCAGCTCCCGTTGGCCAAGAACCATGGCCAATGGGAGCTACAGGCTTGGTGCCCATGGATGGGGCAGTGCGCAGAGCTGCCTGGCCGCGCTGCTGCATAGGAGATGGAGAGGGGACATGCTGCTGTTTCTGGGAGCAGGTTGAGGTAAGTGCCACCTGGAACCTGCACCCCTGACCACTTCCTATGCCCCAACCCCCTGCCCCAGCCCTGATCCCCCTCCCGCCCTCCGAACCCCTCTGTCCCAGCCCAGAGCACCCTCCTGCACCTCCAACCCCTCATCCCCAGAGCCTGCACCCCTAGCCAGAGCTCTCATCCCCTCGTGTACCCCAACCCCCAATTTCATGAGCATTCATGGCCCGCCATATAATTTCCATACCCAGCTGTGGCCTTCGGGCCAAAAAGTTTGCCCACCCCTGTTCTAGGCTGAGCACTGGGTCCCACTGGGTAGATAGAAAGATTAACTTAAATAATCTATACAGAAGCCCCTGGAACCCCATAAGATTGGGTCCCTAATCCATAAACTATTGGAACTCATTTACAAAAATTTTCTTAAACATTACATTAATATATAATATATATATACCATAGAATTAGAATTTATAATCCCTATTCCATGATGAGATATCTTTGAGCTATAACGTATCTTAATTAAAACTATCTTTAGATAGGTTTTTTCCTCAAAAAGCATTTTATCAAAAGAATCCAATTTAAATTTTAAAAAATCAGTTTTTTTTATTTTTATTTTTTAAATCCTTGATTTTGATCCACCCTGGAAAGGAGAAGAAAAAGAGGGGAGTTTTGAGAGAGCCCAAAAACCTTACACCTGAACTCATTTGTGTCAGTTCATGGAAAGTTTCCCAAAATGGGGGTAGGGGAAAAATCCCATTATAGTGAGTTTAATCTAAATGGTTTGGTGCAGTTTGGCTTGTTTTTTGTTAATTGACACCAAACAATTTCTTTCTTTCAGTTAAAAAAATCAGACTTTCTGCTTCAAACAGATTATGACTTTAGGTCCAATCTTGAGCAAGAGATGATATGTCAGGTGCACCTCCCCAGGAATAGCACCAGGAAGATGGTGCCTCAAACGTACACCTCTAAGTCATAAATCCTACTCTGCTTTCTCTTTGCTACAGGAGTGGAGGTAATAATTGCTTCTGGCCCAGTATACCAGAAAAAAATTAGGTTGTTGCATACTTACAGCTGTCAAGGGTGATTCCCCACTCTGGCACTTCAAGTGCAGAAGGTAGGGGCCTGCAAGGATTCTAAAAATTAATACTGGCCACTCCAGGCTTGTATTAAACTCCCAAGGTTACAGCTTTTCTCTGACCTTGGATTGGTAGATGTTGCCACCACCCAAGTGCAAAACCCCTTTGAGAACCCAGGAAGGCGCACTTGGGAATTCCTTCCTGTGGGGTAGCCTCAAGCCCCCCCCTAGGGAAGAGCTGAGGAAGAAAAACAAGGGAAATCAGCTGTTGCCACCAGCTAATTAAACAATGTGCACAAATCTCTTAGGACACAAAAATCCAATCCTGTTTTTAAAGAAGGTAAATTGTATTAAAAACAAAAAGAAAGAAAATACATCTGGAAACTCAGGCTATTGCTAGATTTAAAAAAACCCAAACCCACTACTTAGAAGGATTAGGCATCAAGAATAACTTTCCTGAGGTCCAGCTTCAAGGTTACAAGCAAAACAAAAGCATTTGGGGTTAGCTCAGAGGAGTCCACAAGCCATAAAGAAAAGAAAAAAAAGATAAACCTAATAGTGTCTTCCGAGACATTTCCTGATCTACTTACATATCTGGGGTTTCAAATGAGTAGTTTCCAGGTACGATCTGATGATTTTTCATACCTGTCCTAAAGCTTCTTACAGCATCGCTGCTCTGTTTCCTCTCTCCGGAGAACAACAGAAGACAGACAAAGAGGATGTTTTTCTCAATTTTAAAAAGTTCTAGCCTTCCCATTGGCTCTTTTGGTCAGGTGCCCACTCACTTCCTTTTACCTATGCATAGCAGTGATACTTTTTAACCCTTTACAGGTAAAGCACGTAGAAAACAGCTACTAAGAGAGATTTTATAGCTAACTGGCTGGGCTGGCTGGGCGTCCATAACAGGGAGCTACCTCTGCCCCCTTCATTTATCACAACAGCTATACACCCAGATCAAATATGTGGGGAGTCCATGCGGGGGTGTACTCCCTACCTTGTGTGCTCTGTTATCTGAGTCACAATCTAGCCCATAATGTCTATTATTTAAACACCATGTTCCCATCCAGTCCAACAGGGTTCTCAGTGAATTATATTATATGATTATATGCATTCGGTTTGGTTTATACTGGACTGATGATGTCCACTTTGGTGTGTTCACTTTCAGCTCGGAGAAAACAGATTGCATATTGGAAAATCCTGGATGATGTAAAAAACATATTGCCTAGTAATGATGTTCTCCTTATTAAGCAGGCTGGACTGCATTTCCATCAGGCATGATTTTTCCATTGTCATGCATCTGTGTGATCATTTACACTTTTGTAAAGTTAGTGCAGAGTGGATGTAAAATGCTACCATTCAGATTTTTTAAGCAGCTTTTCACAAGTGTAAATAAATGACCAATCTATACAAGACAGTGGAGAATCAGGCCTGTTATTTGTAACAGTCAGCTTTGACTGGGCAGCTGAATCCACTTCCACTGTAATAAAAATACAGTAGCACATACCTATGTATACTGAATTTTTTATTAATATTTTATTTTTGTGGTGACAGATGTTACCACCAATTAACTATTGTAAGGTAAGTAGTGTCTTGAAAGATCATACAGTTTTGTAGCATCCTGCTGAATTCTTCTAAGTTTAGATCTAAATTTCTGCAGTCAAATAGGTGAAATTCACCCTTCTGGAGATGGGTAGTGTGAGGTGTATACTCCAGTTAAGCCCCACTTAGATAGTAAGCTCTTTGGGGCAGGGACCTTCTTTTTGTTCTGTGTTTGTACTGCACTCAGCACAGTAGGGTCCTAGTACATGACTGGGGCTCCTGGGTGCTGCGGTAATACAAACAATAAATAATAACTTACAGCCTTAAAATAGATGTCAAATGGGACTTCCTTGGGGCAAAGGCCTTGTGTGGGACTCTACCTAGAGGTGAATTTCACCCCTAATGAGGAAAATGTGTGGGTAAAATCATGGCTTCATTGAAGTCAATAGTAAAACTCCCATTGGCTTGATTTCACCTTGTGTCTCTAATGAAAGAGACTTTGAAGTATCAAGCATGGTTGAAATGGCATACATTATTTTAGTAAATTGCCAAAGTATCATTCTCTTTCACCCACATAAGCCTTCAGAGTCTCAATCATGCTTCTTAAGCAGTAGGTGAGTCACAACCAGTCTGTCTTTTGAAAAAGTTAGACTTCTGTCTAGTTCCCATGGTAATCAGAAGCAACAATTATTTCAGATTGCTACTCCAGTTCCTTTAAAGTGTAAGCTCAATAAAGAAGCTCTCAGATGGCTACAGTTCCACAGAGGTTTGCAGTACTTAATCATCACTTCCTATTGTCAACGGTTTGAGTACTTCAAAAGAATTGGTCCTGGATGCGTGGAGGGCTGGCTCTAGTGTATATTTTCAGACTGCAGTGCATTTAAAATAAAAAATGTAGTCTTGTTGTATTTTCAGCTCCACAAAGCAGTTCTATGGCACTATTTCAGCAAAAATTTCTAGAATGAAACAAATGGCCCTGAGGGACTTTAACAATTGTCTAGTAGATAACTCTGCATGTGACTCAGAAGATGCATAACAAAGAATAATTTCACTCTGCCTGATCATATAACTTGTACTGAGATCCTAGTTTTCAAACAGGGGGGCCTTAACAGAACAGCCAAATCCTGCTTCTAGATGCTTATTTTGGCTTGTAATCATATTAATTGAACATTTATACACCTAACTGTCTATTTCACTATTATAAAGGCAGTGATATTTGAAAAGTGGATCCTGATTGTGAAAAGGATTGTTTTTCTTCAAGTGCTTGCTCATGTCAATTCCATTCAAGGTGTGCACGCACCCTCATGCGCAGTCGTCGGAGATTTTTGCCTTAGCGTTGTCCTTGTGGCATCCTCTGGAGTGCTACTGTGCTCGTGTGGTGGTATATCAGGTGCCGCCCAGCCCTATGCCCTCTCAGTCCCTTCTAGCTGCCCGTGGTGGTTCGTCGGAGCACCTTCCTTGCTTAACGAGAGCTAGTGTTTTTGTCTCCTAATGAACTTCGTGCCTTCGAGCCTTTTGTAAATAGTTTGTGTAATGTATTAGTTAAGTAGTGAAGTGTAGCTGTTAGTCAGTGTCCCGGTGGGGACTTCGCCCCAGACGGAGCATGCCCAGGGCTCCCGGGTTTAAGCCCTGCTTGGGGCTCTCCTGATGGAGTCCACCCTTCGCCCGGCTTCTGAGTCATCCAGACAGGTCACACCGAGCACCTCGGCCTCCATCTGCAGTGCGCTGCCGGCACCTGGCTCCTCCCGGCATCCGTCGCCATCGCCCGTGCCAAAAAAGAAAATGAAAAAGCACAGCTCCCCGACACCAAGTAAAAAGGTCCAAGGGTCATCAGCCAAGGGACCCGGGCCTGGCCACCAGGCTACTCCAGAGCCACGTGCTCATGCCTCCCTGGTTGGGGCCCCCAGCCCCCTCGAAGGTCTGCTACTGACTCCTGGGAGCAGTATGGGACCCACATCCCTGCCGGCACCGTCGTCCTCCCAGGCTCCCCAAGCGCAGAGAGAGCACAGGTCTCCACCTGCTCCAATGATGAGTCTGGTGCCGCATGATTTGGCTAAGGCTCCCCAAGAGGGCAAGCCAGCTTCTAAGACCCCTCAAGGGGCAGGGGAACACTGCCGGTCACCAGAGAAGAGGCGAGAATCCTCTCCACTGCACCGAGGATCTGGGGACAGATCCGAGACTCTTCATCGGTCGCCCAGACTAGTGTCGAGATCCCCTCGGTGTTAGTCATTTGTACGGGGTCGACATTTCCCACACTATTCCCAGCACCGGTCATCCTCCTGTCGGTCATCCTCTTGACGTCAGTCCTAATTGCCGGCACAGTGGGAGCGTTCCCCATCTTGGCACCGGTCTCCCTGGCACTGGTACCAATCTCCCCGCTACTGACACCAGTCTCCCACATCTGGTCACCGGTCGCCAGTAGCCATGACCAGTAAACAAACCCAGGCATCGACGGCCCCTCCCTGGTTGCTGGAAGGTGATTCCTCTGGCACGCAGTACCAGTTCAGCCCATCGCTCAGGTCCCACCGGCGAGATTGGGCACTGGAACCTGCACCATCACCTGCGGCACCGCAGTGGCAGCACGGCCAGTGGCCAGCACAGTGGCCTTATTGGAGCATGTGGGGCGTACCGATCATAACGATGCCCCCTTCCCAGCGCTCTTCAGTTGCTGCATCGGAACACTGGTTGGCGGCACCGACGGCACTGGGCTCAGTGCTGGGGGCCTGTTTGGAGGTCAGGATGGAAAAGCCTGTGCCCGCCCCTAAACCTCCCTCTCCGGTGGTAGTCAAAATCCCGGGACCTCCCCCAGCAGTCCAATCTTCCTCATCATCCCCAGATGAGGTGGTTGCAAGAACTTCAAGGGCTAGCCTGCCGGACAGCTTCAAAAAACATCAGGCCCTACTTTGGTGTGTGGCCAAGAATTTGGGGCTGGAGGTGGAGAAGATGGTGGATCAGGAGGACACCCTCTTCAATGTCCTCTCGGCCTCTACGCCCACCCGGGTCACCCTACCCGTGCATGAAGGGGTTCTTACTATCGCCAAGGCCCTATGGCAAACCTCCTCTTCCATTCCTCCTATCTCCAAAAGGGCTGAAAAGAAGTACTTTGTTCCAGCCAAAGGGTTTGACTACCTTTATACCCACCCACCCCCTGGCTCGGTGGGTGTGTCTGCGGCCAATGAGAAGGACAAACAGGGTCATACCACCTCGACTCCCAAGAACAAAGAGGCCAAAAAGCTCAATCTCTTCGGGAGAAAAAATTATTCAACCACCAGCTTACAATTTCGGGTGGCGAATCATCAGGCTCTGTTCGGCAGATATAACTTTAATCTCTGGGATGGTCTCTCCCACAGGGTCTGGCCCAGGAGTCCGGCGCCCTGGTGGAGGAGGGCACCGCGGCGGCCAGGTGCTCCCTGCAAATGGCATGGGTTGCGGTGGACTTGGTGGCTCCAGTGGTTGCGTCAGTGCTGGTTATGCAGCACAGCTCTTGGCTCCAAAAGGTGGGCATCTCCCAGGAGATGCAGACCTCGATTCAAGACCTTCCTTTCAACGTGGTTGGTTTCTTCTCTGAGCAGATGGACGCCAGGCTGCGTGGGTTGAAGGACACTAGAACCACCCTTCGCTTGTTGGGCATGCACACACCAGTCTCCTCGTAAGCCCTTCCGGCCGCCCCCACTGCCAAGGACCTGGCATCCCCGTCAGGGCTCTGTGAGAAGAAGGGACACTACTTTTAGCCATCAACGCCCTTCTTCCTCATGCTCACCTGTGCAACCTGGGCCTGCCAAACACCTAGGGGGCCAAAAACACTCATTTTGAAGGTGTGCTCGAGAGCGACGCCCCAGTCAGCTACACGGCTCCTCCCCATCTTTTCCTCGACTGTCTCCACCCCTACCAGATTGCCAGTGGCGGCTTACCTGAGATGTCAAGGGGTCCAGATTTTCCAGTATCGCAACAACTGGCTCCTCAAGGGCAGGTCTCCAGGGCAGGTGCAAGGGAGCCTCGATCTGGTGCATTCCACCTGCAGCAACCTGGGCCTGCTGATAAAAACAGAAAAGTCCATGTTAACACCAGTTCAATGCATAGAGTTTATTGGAGTGGTTCTCAACTCCACGTGGGCCAGGGCCTTCCTTCCGGAAGTGAATTTTCACGCCATGTCAGACCTGATCTCCCAGGTAAGCAGCCACCACTCACCACGGCCCACACCTGCCTGTAACTGATGGGCCACATAGCCATGTGCATGTACGTGGTCAGCCATGCTTGACTTCATCTACAACCTCTGCAAGCGTGGTTAGCCTCAGTCTGTATGCCCAGCAGGTAACAGTGCCGAACCACGTCCTTCCATCCCTGGAGCAGTGGCTGGATCCCAAGTCGGTGCTGCAAGGAGTTCCCTTCACAACCCCATCCCTGTCGCTCACCCTGGTCTCAGATGTGTTGGATCTGGGCTGGGGAGCCCACCTGGGCAAGCTCAGCACGCAGGGCCCGTTGGTTTCAACATGACCTAGCCCTTCATATCAACATCAGGGAGCTCAGAGCAGTTTGCCTGGCCTGACAGGCTTTCTTGCCCCACCTGAAAGGCAAGGTGGATAGTATCGACAGAATGTATTTCATCAACAGGCAGGGCAGTACCAGGTCTTCGGCCCTTTGTTGGGAAGCGCTCAGCCTCTGGGACTTTTGTGTGCCACATGCCATTCATCTGGTAGTCCCCCACCTGCCCGGAACCAAAAACGTCTTGGCAGATCATCTCATCAGGACCTCGTCTCGCTACAAATGGACATTCCATCTGGAGGTGGTCAGCCTAATCTCCCACAGATGGGGGAATCCCCAGGTGGACCTGTTTGCATCCAGGCAGAACAGAAAGTGCCACGTATTCTGTCCTCTGCAGGGGAGGGACAAGGGCTCCCTGTCAGATGCCTTCTTGATTCTGTGGTCGGGACTGCTGATGTACACCTTCCCACTGCTACAGCTGA